GTCAGATGAGATACCTAGTAGTTTAAATATCACACTGGGGTACTCAAAAGATTGCAGGGACACTTAATTTCCTGGGAGAAAAGCTACTGGGAGCTGGGGAGATAGCAGAATATGCCAGTGAAATGGTCAGAGTGTGCACTGGTAGGAGGAGTGCGACCTTAAGTGACATTTTTTTCCCTTGAAGTTCACACTATTTGCCCTCGTAAATGGCTGACTATGGTGTGCTCTGCAATGTGCAATGAAGGGGTTGAAGACATGGTGAGTAGTCAGTCATAGCTGAGCTCTCTGTTCTTACTATCTTACACTATCTTACCTCCATCAGATTTGGTCAGGGTGTTCTTGACCATGTCAGAATTTCTTCACAGGATGCTTGATTGACCTTTGTTGGCTTTGACATCTAGAACAGGAGTGTGTCGTCTATCTTCTTTATGGCTGTCTTGGTGATCTTGCCGATGGATACGGTGGTCAAGCTTACTTCTTCTCTGATGATATTTGGGCTGCCTTTGGAACTGCAGAAGGTGGGTGAGGTCTGGATCTTCTTTAATTTTGTGGCTGAAGACACAATTTGCAACGCTTTGTTGGCCTTCAAAGCTTTTGCTTTGGCTCAGCTTTGGGAGAGGCAGGGACTGCCTTCTTTGTTTTTGGATCCATCTTAGTGAAGTGTTCCCCTGGGCATCATTCTTGAGAGGTAGCCAGATAATACTATTTACAGGTACTTTTATATTCACGCATTTACATATTTCTTCTAAATAAATGTATTTCAAGTATAAAACATACCCCAGTTACTCACCTTTTCATATTTCTAGAACAGCATTCCTTAACTTCAATCCTATGACATTTTGGGCAGGTAGTTCTGTCCTTAGGGGGACTGGCTCTAGGACTGCAGACTGCTGAGCAGCAATATCCCTGGTCTCTACCCAGCCACAAGCCCTGTACTACATGATAGTAGCAGCATCACAGATGAGATAATCAAGTCTTCAGATAAGACAACTGGCCTTTGGGGGTGAGGGAGTCAAAATAGTGGTTAAGAACCACTGTTCTGGATTGACATTCACATGATAGTTGTTGGTAGCTATTGTGGTATCCTTAGAAATTTCACAGTGATTAAGTCCTTGCTTTCAGTTATCTTCAAATGCTGAGTAGATAGCTTCCTCAGGCATTACATTCTGTGTAAGTGGGGTTGCTTCATATTTCACTGCTTTTTCCTATTTTAACTGCTAGGATGAAAATGTACCACATAAATATAAAGTCAGGAAGTAATTATATGTGTGGGGTACATACACATACACAAGCAGACATAATATCCATGGTGATCGTGTCTTTTGGTTTTGGCAAGTCCATAGTGGCTTTGTGGATTATTCTGAATTATGACAGCGCAGATGCATGTCTTAATTGCAAATGTGTCCTCTTATATAAGTATGATTGATACTTTCTTCTAGATTAATGTATGACCTATAGATTGATAGGAAGTTAAATGCTTGTATTGGGAAGATATGTGATTCATATTTTCCCCCTTACCAATGGCCAAGGATATTCTATATATTAGGAGTGAAAAAATGAAAATAATAGGGCTAATTTTTCAGATTGAATTAATTTTCATTTTCATGTGTTTTTTCCTTTTTCTGTGTGGAAATAAACACTTTATTTTTCCTTAATAATTCTATCCACACTGGTAACAGAGGAACAATTTACATTTTGGCATTTATTTTAGGAGTATAGTGTGAAAGATCTGAGATAAGTGACCCTGCATTTCCAATTCATTCATTTTATGATTTAAGGACCTGCACTGGATTAGAAGTCTGGGAGGCTGGCAGCTTGGCTGTCCCAGGCCTAATTTGATGTTGCTCCTAATTCTTCCATTTCTAGAGCCTTCTGAATTAAAGAATCCCCTCAATGATTTCCTCATTATCATACCTGCTCAAAATCTGTATCAATATAAGGGCAAGCTAACACCAATGTCAACATCAAACAGCCTTGAGTAGGGGAAAGCCACAAGATGGCAGTGGGAAGCCTTTAAGACAGTCAAAAGCAGTCCAACATTTTGATTTTTTTTTTTTTTTAGGGAGATCATCTTTAGCTGATTGTGAATTGCACACATCTGGGCCACATGTTTTATGGGCACTACCAATTCTCCCTTCTGACATTTATCCCCTAATATTACTCAGCTGTCTATGGAGAGTGCTTTTAATTTTCTGAAGCTTCCACAACAAATTTCTACAAACTTGGTGGTTTAAGACAAGAATTGTTCTCTCACAGTTTTGGAGTCCAGAAGGCAGAAATCAAGAGTGGCAAGAGTCTCACTCCTGCTAGTGTCTTTAGGACGTATTATTCCTTGCCTTTTTCATTTTCTGGTGGCTGTCTGCATTCCTCTTCTTATGTCTACATATCTTAATCTCTGTCTTCATCTTCACATCATCTTTTGTCTGTGTCTTTTCTTCTTTATGCTGTCATCTCTCTCTCTGCTTTTCTCTTATGAGGAAACTTGTCACTAGATTTATGACCCATTTGGATAATCCTGGATGATTACTTCATCTCAAGACCCTTAGCTTAATTTTATCTGTAAAGCCTTTCTCCCCGCACCCTCATTAGTAACATTCATAAAACTAAAAGCTGGTTCTTTTAAAAGATTAGTAAAATAGACAAACCATTAACTAGAATACCAAAGAAGGGAATTTTGAATAGAATCAGGAATGAAAGAGAACTTCAAAAATACCAAGGAACCAAGGACTGTAAGAGTGCATTACAAACATCTATATGGCAACAAATTTGACAATCTAGAAGAAATGGAAAAATTAAAAGAAAACACACACACACACCTTTCCAAGAATTAATCAAGAAAAAGAAATCTAGATAGTTTAATCATGAATAAGATATTTGAAACAGTAATCAAAGACTCCCAAAGAACAGACGCCCAGGCCAGATGGCTTTGGTAGTGAACTTTACTAAACTTTCAAAGAAGAACTAATATCTACCCTTTTCAACTGCCTTCAAAAAATTGAAAAGGATAGGAAACTAACAAACACCATTTATGAAGCCTACATTACCTTGCTTCCAAACCAAAGAAATATACCACACACAAAAAAGAAAACTGTACATCAATATTGCTGATGAATATAGATGCAAAAAACCCTACAAAATGGCAACAAACAATGTTTAACACAACATCAACAAGAACCATACATCATGATTAAGATGGATGGATGGTTCAAGATAAACAAGTTAAAAAAAAAAAACATGCTATATCAACACAAGGACGGCCAAAAACCATGATCATCTCAAGAGATGCAGAAAAACCATACAAACAAGATTCAACATCCATTTTTTATGTAAATCCTTAACTAAATATGTATATATAAGGAATATACCTCAATATAACAAGGCAATATATGTCAAACACACAACTAATGTCATATTGATAATGCTAAAATAAAAATGATTGAAAACTGAGAGCTTTTCCTCTAAGGTAAAGAATAAGGCAAAGGTGTCCACCCTCTCACCATTATTATTCACTATAGTGTTTGAAGTACCAGACAGAACAATTAGACAAGAAAATGAAATAATGACTATAATGCCTGACACAATATATAGATTCAGCCAGTCCCTATGATAACCCCAATAGCATTCTTTACAGAAACAGAATTTAAAAACCATTAAATTTATTTAGAACTACAAAAGACCCTAAGTAGTAATGAGATAGAAAGAGAAAAAGGTGGTAACACATTTCCAGACCTCAAATTATAAATGTGCAAAATGATAATAATCCAAGTATCATGGCACGGGAATAGAAATAGACCAACATAACAAACTGAGAGCACTGAAGTAATCCCATAGATACGTGAAAAAATAATTTATAAAAGGGAGCCAAAAGTATACAAAGAAAGAAAAGTCTCTTCAATAAATGGTACTGGGAAAACTGGACAGCAACATGCAAAAGAATAAAACTAGACAACTATCTACCAACATTCATAAAAATTAATTTTAAAGACTTGGATGTGATACCTGAAACCACAAAATACATAGAAAAAGCAGGTGCTATGCTACTTGACAATGGCTTTAAAGATATATTTGGAGACTTGACTACAAAGGCAAAGGTAACAAAAGTAATAAGAAATAATTGGGACCACATCAGACTAAAAAAGCATAGGAAAAGAAACTGTCCTGAAAACAAAAGATGTCATACGCATGGGAGAATGTGTTCACATATCATACATCTGGCAAGGGGTTATTATCCAAACTATATAAAGAACTCAAAAATTCAAGAACAACAAAAAACCAATTTTAATTAAAAAAATGGGCAGATGACCAGATACTTTTTGAAGGAAGACATACTGATAGCCAAGAGGCAGGTATAAAAATGTCCATCATCTCTTATTATTAGGGAAATGCAAACCAAAACAAGTGTTAGCAAGGAAACAGAGAGAGCAGCCACTGTCCACTGTTGGTGGGCATGTGAGTTGGGGGAGCCATTATGGAAAACAAAATGAAGGGGCCTCAAAAAATTGGGACTAGAAATCCCATACCCTCCAGTTATCCTGCTTCTGGGTATTTACCAGAAAAAGACAAGAAATGAATTGTCACACTCCCTCTCCTCCTCCCCCCCTCCCCATGCTTACTGCAGCATTATTGACAACAGTAGAGAACTGGAAACAACCTAATGCCCCTCAACAGATGGCTAGATAAAGATATGCTATATATACACAATGGAACACTACTCACATATTTTTCCTCTAATTTGTTGGACTTACCAGGATTCTGAGAATAGAAGTTGCTCCTCTTTCCTTCAAGTCCTTGTGTGTAGTTTCTCACCATGGAGGTGTACAAGCAGCAATTTGCTGGTAAAGGCACTAGTGTGCCATGTGTAATTACAGGGGTTTGATTTACAAGACTTCCAGGCTCATTAAAACTTCATAGTATTCAAATGTGGAATTTTACATACCAATATTAGCATCTGTTTGCTTTATGACCTCTTATTTATTTTATATGTCTGAGTTCTCAAACAGACAAGCATGGTGTCTGTCCTGAAGTGAATATGGAAGAGCTGGACTTGATTTCTGGTTTTACTACACATAAGTGTGTGGCCCTTTTGATATTCAGTTACATTATTTATAAAATGTGAATAATAACACTTTTGATTCAGGACCTTTTCAATAACTAAACATGAAAAAATTATATATAAATGAAAGCTTTAAACACAATACTTGACAGAGAAGGGTTAACCAGTAAACATTATTTAAATTAGGAAAAAAGTAAGTGGATTCGAGTACCAAAATAAAAACCAATAGTATTGGGTTATATCACACAGAACAAAGCAAATAACCTTGAGTCCATATTGATATAAATAAATAACTGAAAAAAACATGTAAATAGGAACATTCTTTTTGAAGAGGAATTCTCATTAACATGCCAAAGCAATGACAAAAAAGAAAAATCATTACAGTAATAACTCTTGTAGGCGAGAACAACCAATGTTGCTAAAATAAGTGGGCAAAATATTAGGAAAAACAGGATATTTGCATAGCTCCAAAGCATTTCCCCCCAGACAGACATTTAGTTGCAAAGGGGAAAATAGCAACTCCACAGTGGAAAAAACCAGCAGATACCATTACTAATAAGACACATCAATATTGTGTGCCCCCATGTGACATATTAAGAAGGACATATCACTTCTGACTAAATATGTTATTTTGGTCTAAGTGTTATAACCCCTTATTATTAGTTTGCTGACTAAAAAATGGAAGAACTTAATCAAATCATTAGATACCAATAGTAACTCAAATTGAGGTGTATCATACAAAATATCTCACCAGTATTCCTTAAAAGTCTCAAGGTCATGAAAGGTAAAGATAACTTGGTAAACTGTCACTAATACAAGGAAACTACGATGTGATTAAAGACATGCAATTGGAATCTTTGACTGGATCTTGAAATAGAGAAAGGATGTTAGTGAAAAGAGTGGTGAAATCCAAGTAAAGTCTATAGTAATTGTATTGTGTCAACACTGATTTTGTAGTTTTGGTAAATATCTATCCTCATATAATATTGGGGGAAATTGGTGGAAGGGGATATGGGAATGCTCTATACTGTTTTTTCAACTTTTTTGAAGTCTGAAACTATTCTAAAATAAAAGGTTAAAAAAGACAGTTGTAGTTAGAGTGTTGTCTTTTGTAAATGCCACATAACCTTACAATTCTTTCTGCCACTAACTGCCACTCTTCTCACTGGGATCAGGTTTCACAGTTTACAAATCTGCCCCCATGTACCATCACACTGAGACGGACAGTCCTGTGAAATATCGTTCCCATTTCACTGCTGATAAAACTGAGGCTCAGACAGGGGCGGGGGGTTGCCTAAGTTTATCTTGAAGTTCTTTCCCTTCTTCTGCGTGTCACCTAAGAGGCTAGTTGGTGGGAGAAAACTCACTCTGCTTAACAAAAGTACACAAGCCAGTGATACTTTATTATACAAGGAAGTTGGCAAAGGACAGATTAAATTTTGTCAAAGAATCCCTAGCAAATACTTCCAATGCTCCATCTGGCGATGCAGTTAACATAATAAAACAATAGCTGATATTAACTGAGTACTTGCAATGTGCCACAATCATTAAAGGAAATCCAAATCCCACTATGAAAACTGGAATTTTCATTAGGCTCCAGACTTAGAAAAGGCCCAGCTTCAAAGATTCTGATTTGCACAGACCAAGGACTCCTATTTCCAGAAGTTCACAAACCTCCTTTCTTATCTGAATGAGAGAAGAAAAAAACAAGGTTAAAATTAAGAAAAGGTGGTGAGTAAATTGAACATAAAGGTACTCCTTTATGTGATTGCTATGGTCAAATCAAGAAGGGAATAAAATCCTCATCCAAGTTATTCATAGTAAAATATTTATGTATGTAAAAGAAGAAATATTATTAAAAAAATCAGTTTCATTAAGGTGTCCTTTTGTCTGTAAGTCATTTAAGATACAAATTTCATTACAAGATCTTAGACAAAGATGTTTCAAAATATCCAAAATGTGTTTAGATTATACACAATATTTTAGCATATAATTATTGTTAATGATAACAACGTAATAAAATCATCATGGGTGGTAACAAGGGTTTTTACAAATTATTTCTTTTTTAAAAATTATTTATTTATTTATATATATTTTACCTCACTCATGTATCACAGTCTCTTGTGCTCTTCTCACCCTCATTTTGATCCCTTTCTCCCTCTCTCCCCTACTTCTTTTTCTCACCATCAAATATAGGTTTATATGCCTGAGATCAAATTCATTAAACCACTTTTTAAAAATCAGTCAATTCAGGGTATAGACAGGTATGTGTGTGTGTTTCTGAAAAAACTGTCATGTAACTTGATATAACCTATCAATTATTTATAATCATGTATGGTCATTCCAGGGATATAGTTTTAGTGGTAAATTAATTCACTCAGCATGTTTGCAGGAGTAATTACAAGTTTCTTTGATAGTTACTGCCATGATTCATTCCTGGTTGGTGTGCCAACCATGTTTATTGCTGCACAAACCCTTTTCTTGCCAACAACAATGAAGTGGCAGATTAGATTGAAAAATTAGCCACAATATAACAGGGTAGGTAGCAAATAAGTTCTGACATTATGATAGTAATGGATTACTTTCATAAATAGATAATGAGTTACTGCTTGGTCCCACAAAAGCATTCAAAATTAAGACCAGTTTTAATTCACTGAGACATTCAAAGTTTCCCTACCCACAATACCAAAAAATAGACTTATAAAGTAAGAGGGAGAGGTGGAGATGAGGGCAATGAGGCAAGTTTGTGCCCCCACCCCCAACCAGGTGCACTTATAAGGATGAATGGCAAAGATGACCATGTCTCTGTAGCAAGCTGCAAACAAATGTGTCAAGTCCTTTCAATTGTCCTGTTTCGTAAACGTACAGAATAGTTGTGGTGCCAGTGGGGCAGAGGCCACTGAGCATTTAATGAGGAAACAAAACCGATTCCTATGAAACACATGGAAAGTATACAGTTACATATAAGAGGTGAGATGGTCTCTATAACTGTTGTTACTTTAGAGTTGAAAGAAAGAAATCATTTCAAAGGCCAGAATGTGCTGGCTCCCCATGTCAAAGACTTTTTTAGTGTGTTTGAACCCAAGTTCAAGTTGAAAAAAAAAAGATTAAAGGCATCTGATGATTACATAGTACCTCGGGAATGTCCATCATCCTCCTCAACTTCTGATCTCTCCAGTTCCAGTCAAAGACCAAAAACTTTAAGGGGTTCAAATTAAGGCCACCTGAAAGAGACACGGAGAGTTGCTATACTGAAGACCACATGACATAAGCTTATTAAAATGATTTTTTATTCTCCTGGTTGCTTTTTGCCTCATTTGTTCTCCTCTCCCCAGGCAACTAATCTCCATACATTAAGTGCTACCCTTGCTTGATGGAAAACAAATGCAGAACTGAGGCTTGTTCTTAAAACTTTATCACTGATTCTGAGGGAAGCAGAGAAGCTGCTCTTGCTAAACTTGTCAAATGCTCAAGGGCTGGCAAAGAATCAATCCCAAACCTCTATCCCAGTCCCAGAGGATGAAGTCTTGTTCCTGACAGAGATTTGATAGTTTGGGGTATTGGTCCTTCAGGGGAGATGAGTCCAACAGAGTCTGCATGGCTCTGAGGATGTAAGTGGGAAGAAGGATGAGGACAGGGCTGAGAGGTTAATTTTAAGCAGAAAAAGAAGTTAAGATGAATGGGCTCTATTCAAAGTCTGCTAGCCTTTGAAGGAACTGGTAAACCACTTAAGGACTATATCCAGGCTGTTTTCCTATCTAGAGACAATTATGGCATCTTGTCTATCTAGACACAGCAATGGAATGTGGGCTGGAGGGGACCTCAGGGACTGACTGTTCCTCAGAGGTCTCAGAGTTCGAGTACACTTAGTTTCTCCTATCCCCAACTTCTTGTCACTATTATACTTTATCTGGGAAATGAAACCGAAGTTTTTCTCTGCAGTTTCTTCACTTATTTTCTTCTCTGCCCAAAGGACTTTTTTTTTAAACTGCATTTTATTTAAAATCCCCTCTTTACAAAATTAAAAATGATAAATTGAGAAAGACGGGAATAGGGATGGGTGACAGTCTTCCCTTAAAAATAACTTATAGCTGGTGAAGAACAAACAGGTAAAGATTCTTTGCAAGGCAACTGGGCATTATATAGTAAGAGCTTTAAAATGCTTAATATTTGATAAGATAAATTTCCTTTGATGACATATGTGACAAAAAACAATAGAAAGTTAAACAAAGTTGCTTGCAAAGATGATCACTGCAGTATTACTTCCAATAGCAAAAATTAAGTAACAATCCCAAATCCTACCATAAATAGGATTGATAAAACACAATATAACTCGCGTTAACATCCAGATTATAGAAAGAATATATACAACTCAGTAGAAAAAAAAAAGGCAAAGTGGTTAAAAACTGGAAAAAGCTGGCCCTCCCTGGTGGCACAGCACTAAGAAGCTAAAGCCACTTCCACATGAGTTCGAATACTGCCTGCCCCGGAGGTGATATACATGGCAGGCAGAACTCTCCTGGCTCACCCGCTGCTCCCCCCAGCAGTGTACTTCGTGGATCTGCCTGCACTGCTCCCCACTTTGTCTCTGGTGAATCCTCTCACTGCCCCTACACCTCTGGCCTGTAACCCAGTTCTGTATGAATAAATAAATCTGTAAAAAAAGAAAAAAAAATTGGAAAAAGCTACCGAATAGACATTTTCCAAAGACAGACAGATGGCCAACAGGTACATGAAAGGGAAATGCAAATCAAAACCATAAACTCTCACACTTTTCTTGACTTTTATCAGAAAGATGAGATGACAAGTACTAGTGAGGATGCAGAAAAAAAGAGAACCCTGTGCACTATTTTTGGGAATGTTAATTGGTATAATCACCAAAGATAGTTTAAAGGTTTTTTAAAAGATTAAAAATAGATTTGATTCGGCCCTCCTTGGTGGCGCAGCACTAAGAAGCTATAGCCACTTCTGCATGAGTTCAATCCATGCCCTAGAGGTGACCCACATGGGTGGCAGACCTCTCCTGACAGGCCTGCTGCTCCCCTCAGCAGTTTGCTTCCTCAGTTGGCCTGTTGTGCTCCCTACTCTGTCTCTGGTGAAGCCTCACTGCCCCTGCACCTCTGGCCTGTACCCCCATTCTGTATGCATAAATAAATAAATCTCTAAAAAATTTTTGATTCAGCAATTCCACTTCTGAGTAATACAACAAAAGGAAATAAAACACTATCTCAAAAAAAAAAAAAGACATATGCATCCCCCATGTCCTCTCTCTTATAAAATTAAGAACTAGTATGGCATTAGAATAATAGACACACAGATTAATGGTACAGAATTGACAGTTAAGAAATACACAATTACATGAACAGTTCATCTATGATAAAGGAGCCAAGATTAGACAAGAGAAAGTGAAGCCTTTTTAACAAATAGTGCTGGGAAAACTGGACAGCCATATGCAAAGGAATGAAACTAGATGACTATCTCACACCATATACAAAAATTAGCACAAAGTGGATTAAAGACTTAGACATATGACCTGAAACCATAGGAAACAAGCAAAACACTGCATGCCAATGTATTTAAGGGTCTCTTTAGAGACTACTACAGTAGCAAGAGAAGCAAAAATAAACAAATGAGACTATATCAAACTAAAAAGTTTCTGCACAGTGAAAGGAACTGTCATTAAAATGCAAAAATGCCCTACAAAATGGGAGAAAATATTTGCATATTATACATCTAACAAGAGATCAATATCCAGAATCTACAAAGAACTCATACAACTCAACAATAACAGAATTTAAAAGCCTAATCAAAGATGGACAGAAGAGTTAATAGATATTTATCCAAAGTAGATACAGAGATGACCATGAGACACATGAAAAAATGCTCATCATCATTTATTATGAGGGAAATGCAAATCAAAACCACAATAAGATACTATCTTATATCTCTGAGAATGAGACATTTCAAAAAGACCAGAAATATTTCCCTACATGCCTTTTTTTTCAATTATTACAAAAGTTTATTTTTACATTATTTTGCACATTTTTTTTCCATCTCGATTGTAATCCCTGCGGGTTTCCCATCACCAAATCACCCGTGTGCCACCACCATAGTCCTGTGCATTTCCCTCCCTCCCCCCCCCCCCCTGTTTTGATCCCATTCCCCACACCACCCCAACAAAATGTCTCTAAGTATATGGTTGTTCATTATTTTTGTTATTTTCTCGCCTGGTCCATTATACTCCTGCTATGAGTGAAACCATCTGGTATTTTTCTTTCTCTTTCTAGCTTATCTCACTAAGCACCCTACATGCCTTTTTTAATCCTTCCTATACCTCAAAACTCAGTGAAAGACACTTTCATTCAGTCACAGTCAGTAATCCCTCATTTCCACTCCATTAGGATTGAGAAACGCTTATTTGGATTTGACTTTTACCGGTTCCTATTGTCATTTTCATTCTATACCCATTTATCTTGTCAGCTGGATCAGCACTTGAGGGGGAAAAGTTCTGGATCCAAAAAAGCCTGTACAGAGAGACCTTAGGAGGGCTACTTACCCTCTACAATTTCAAGTTTCACTTATAAGTAATAAGACTGCAGGTCTACAAGTTTGTGGTAAGCACTAATTGATAAGTAAGGGTAACAATGATAGTATGAAGTACAAGTAGGGAACTCAAAACATGCTTGTTTCCTTTTCTTATCCCGGAGCACCCAAGCTAAAAGCTTCTGTGTAATTGCACAGATCTCTCTATATAGTGGGCTCATTTAACCTTTATCTGATTTTCATCTCGAGAGAAACACTATTATTTTTAGTTTTTGTTTGTTTCCTGGCAAATCATCATTTCTACAATAGTTACTAAGTTGAGCATTAATATTATTGTTAGATATATAAAAAGTCCAGGAATAGCTCCAGACTGTTATAAAACAAAGTTCTAATACTATATTAAATAAGCAATTTTGAAATGATTATTGAAAATTTCCATCTATCTGGCAGTAGAATAAGGCAGTACAAGCATCAGCAGGTTAGTAGGTTTTTAGGTTACTGGCTTTGAGAATGTCAACAGACTATAAAACCCACTAGTAGATGTTGCTTGGACTTCTATCAGGGCAAAGTACTAAAAGAGAAATGTTTTTAGGGAAATATTTTAAAATAGCTGCATATCATTGTTAGAAACTGCATTAAAAATATTTTTGCGGGCCCTCCCTGGTGGCACAGCGGATTGAAGCATAGCATTAAAAAACTAAAGCCATGAGATTCATATGGAACAACAAAAAACCTCAAATAGCCAAAACCCTCATGTCTAAGAAAAATCAAAATGGAGGCATTACAATCCCAAACTTCAAG